TTGGACAGCAAACAGTACACCTGAGTTCAGTCATACAAACTAACTTTTGTAAATAACATTAGACGAATATATCCATGTCTCTAATATGAATCTAGATGTATTTTCTTACAAAACGCATTAATAGAAATATCCAGGCAAATACATACCATACAATAGCAAAAGCTTTAAGCCCCATTTAATAAGATGACTTTCTGATTAAAAATAGAAGGCAATTAAGATTTACTCAAATTTACTCAAAATTACAATTAAGAAAAGCTTTCACAGTGCAATATTGAAACTGTCACAAAGTTAAGAAAATACTGATATCAAAGTACAATCACAATGTTAAAGTAGACAAAACTACTATACAAGGGCATATCTTGTAAAATTAAAAGGAATGAACACAACATAGGGGACACCTCATGTCCCTGCTCTACATATCTTGTTTCCTAGTCTTCAGAGTTGTAATTGTGTTTTCTGACATCAGTAGAAGTCTTGTTAAAATGAAGAGGTTCATTCTTCTTTGTAGACCAGATGTCAAAGCCCGCTTACTTCTTGAAAATACATTCTTCATCACTGCACAATTTCAAAGTAGTGCAATATTGCCATGATGTGCTGAGGCATGAACACATAGCCCGTGTACAGTGCCATTCCAACAATGGAAACTAGCATGGAATCTGAGTTACAGTTGAGGAAAAAAGCATTTGAAGTAGAAAGCGCATTAGACATCACATAACTATAGCATTAAAACTTTCCTGGTAACTATCTTATAACATTACATTTTTAAATCAGACAGGGTCAACTGTATTCAGCAATTACAGCTACAAAAATAACCAACCGAACACCAAAAACCAGTACACCGGCAGGAGTGATTAGCTGAATTACGGAAGGATGCCTTGCAAGTTATCCACTGCCTTGTCATGGATACAAAAGGATGGGCCAAATATGGGAGGCATGATGGAGGAACAGAAAACAGGTACTGAGAACATACAGTTTTTACATGCATCCTCCTAGGTGTTAAGCAAGTCTTGCAGAAGCCAACACTATTCAGCCAGGAAGAATAAAGTCAACCATCACAAAAAAAACAAAACAAACACAATAATATGAATACCTGTATTGAGTAAGAGTTCTTCTTTGTGGATGATCTACTCATTTTTAAGCAACAGAATGACCTAATAAATTCAATTTATGATGCACAAAATACATCTGGTGTGAAAGCTGTACTGTTAGCATAATGAAGTCAGGAAACCTCAAATCCATTTCTGGCTGCCAGTGTCCTCCATGCTCTAAATCACGACATTATTTGGCTCATTTGTCCATCTGCATGTCATGCTGAGACCCTTCCTCATGAGCAAGCAGCTCAATTTATGTACTGTTTGGTGATACTTAGGAAAAAGAAACTGCAAGGGGAGTGAAAAGTGTGAGTAACATCATGACATGCACTTAACTGTTTCACTCACAAAGACTCAAAGCCATGCTGATGCTCTGAGGCAAGTTGTGTACTGAAATAAACAGACACTCATTAATACTTCACTACAGCACATCACAATGTAAAACAAACTTCACATGAAGCTATCTGCTCAACAGTCTTAAGATGACCACTTTCTTAGCTGAACTCCTAACAAGGACCTTGTGTAAAACTTTATACAGAGGAGACAACTATATATGTACAACGGGACCTTTGTCAGGCTCTAGGGTTCTTGAAGCTTTATCTAAAGAAGTTACAGCATCAGATTACTGGAAGATTATGCCATTCAAAGTTTAAGGTTTCAAAAACTGAAAAGAAAAATTTTACAAGTACTGAAAATTAATAATAACCTGTTTATTTCATCCACCTACCTGCTGAGATTCAGTAAACTTAGACAGAAACACTATCAAAAACATTGGAGATTAACAAGCATGATAACACTGGACAGCAGTACTCGGTTTCCACAGGTGAAACCAGAGGAGTTGCGCATGCTCTGCATCTTCGAGAAATCAAGTCACCACAGCACACATGTAACAAATGCTCTATGACCGACTTCCCTGTGGCAGAGCAGAGGTATTAGTTGCACTTATTAGAGCATACTAGCTGCTTGGTGTATTTTTAGTCACAGATGATTATACAGTAAAGAGATACTAAAATGAAGGTCAGCCCGTAAGTCCACGTTTCCATATCAGCACTCACTTCTGATTCTGGAGCACAAGCACAGCGAGACACACAGCAGAGCCACACTCCGGTAGCTCCCAAGGCCACTGCGCCTGCGCTGCATCGCTACAGCACCCAGCAGACCTGGCCCACCTATGGCAAAAACGTCCAGTCTGAGGACATAAAACTGTTTTGCTGACCCAAGATCGGAAGCAATAGTTGTGCCACTCATTACACTTGTACGTTAAGTGGCAATACGAGCATTTTATAAAAGTAAACAGGCACACACGATTTCATTTACTTAAATATTTTGCATAAGCTAAAAAGCTGCACAGTTAATGCAAAAGAAAAAAAGCACTCATGACTAATGTAACTTCAAGGAAAGCAAAGGTGATGTAGACAGGCCACAAAATGAGGAAGGTATGTTAGCAAGGAACACAACATTTTGAAGGTAAGAATCCCTACCTGAACAATTGTGCACAGTAAGTCTATAAATATTAGAAAAGAGAAATAACAAGTAAACTCCACTTGTACTGACTTTACACAGGAAAAAATTAAACATCTGCTCACACAGCTGTAACTTGGGTAACCAGTTTTCTATGACAAATGCGAGTTTCTTTACAAAACTGACCAGTATCTCAGCAAAAGCAGCTTCTCACTACTTACACCCTCCTCTTCCTTAATGTTTTGGTTAATTTCAGTCTTTGCCTCTCAACACTGGAGATGGCTCAGGGTCATTCATGTGAGACATCATTTTACATCAAGATCTAAACAGCCACACTTAAAAGAAAACTAACAACGCTTGAGAGAATACCCTGCCCGTATGAAAGGGCTGGGTAAAGAGGCAAACCTCTAAGTAGCCCTTGTACAGATGCCGTCACATAAGCATCTATCAAGTTCTTTCACTCCGAACCAGCCAAGTTAACTCACCAGCTCGAGGATTAAATGCTCATCTAGTAAAAATCACGTGACAAAGCACCACGCAAACCTGAGCTTGCAAGGTTTTGCAGCGTGCACGTTTACTTTCCACTAGACAAAAATACAACAGAATTCACCAAAGACACCTGTGCTTAACTGAAAGCTTGAGATTTCAGTGCAAAAGACGATAGAAATAACTACTACAGAACTCTACAGAAGAAAAATTAAAGGAGAAATAGCTTCGAGATATAAACTTAAGCCCGAGCATAAACTGCTGGACGCCCAGCGACAGGGCACGGGTCACCAGCATAAGGGATGTTCCCCACCCCGGGCGCACGTCAGTCCGCGAAGGTGAGGAGCCTTAGCCTCTGTCCGCGGGCGGGGACAAGCCCCGGTCCCGGGCGGAGGCTGCCGTTC